GATGGGGAAGGGGAAGTACTGAGAATTAAGGTGTGTCTTCTACATGCACCAGCTCATGATGGATGTAATCATTATGCACTGCAAACACGGCTAATAACGATTTTATTTTCATTTGTTTTTTAAACTTTTTATTAGTCCATGTTTTCAGTACAGAAGGATTATATTCACTGTAGAGAATTGGTATATGTCCACACCACATCTCGATTTGATTCTTTTTTTCCCCCGTACCTCCATCCCCCTTTATGACATTTTTTTTTTCTTGGTACCAGGAATCGAACTCAGGACACTGTGCTTGCCAGGCAGGCACTTGTGCTGCTGAGTATAACATTTTTTTAATTTTAAAAAAAGAACTATTAAGTGTGAAAAGGCAACCTACAGAATGGGATAAAATATTTCCATATCATAGATCTCATAAAAAATTAATATTCAAAATATAGAAAGAACTCTTAAAAATAACAGAATGAACCCAATTTAAAAACAGGCAAAGGAAAAAATAGGCAAAGGAACTGAATAGACATTTCTGTGAGAAAAATATTTAAATAACCAGTAAATACATGAAAAACTATGCACCATCATTAGTTACCAGGGAAATGTAAATCAAAACCAAAGTGAAATACCATTGCACACCCATTAGGATCGTCAGCATATTTTTAGAAAAAGCAAATAGTGGGTGCTGGGGATTTAGCTCAGTGGCACAGTGCCTGCCTGGCAAGTGCCAAGTCATGAGTTCGATTCCCAGTACAGGAAAAAAAAAAAAAAAAAAGCTTAGAAAAAGCAAATAGTAAGCAAGTGCTGGCTATGAGGTAAAGACACTGGGAAAGGACCTGGCTGTGGTGGCGCATGCCCCTGACCCCAGCACTGGGGGAGGCAAAGGCAAGAGGATCTTAAGCTCAAGCCCAGACAGGGCAACTTACTGATTTAGTGAGACCCTGTCTCAAAATAAAATAAAAAATGGCCAGGGATATGGCTCAGTGCAAAGGTCCTGGGTCCAACCCCCAGTGCCGGCAGGGAGGGAGGGG